CCTGGCACACATACTCATAACCTTTGTTAATTTTCACCTGCCTACATTACATTCTAAGTAGTGCATAGTTAAGTTAAAGAAGAAGCATACATGGTTTTCTGGTATTTTAAATTTTAAAAATTGAAATCTGAAAAGTGAGGTTTACATTATTAGAAATCAAGGGAAACCTTAAGCAACCTTAAGAAAAAGTCTATACTCCTTCGATCCTCTGCAGGACGTCTGTTGAAATTCGTCATTCCTCTTCCTAACGAGGGGTGTCCCTTTCCGATATTAATGTTAGATATTGGTCCAATATAAGCCAAAAAGCTAATATCGGATTTTAACAGCTGTCATCCAAAATATCCAGTATTTTTATGCTGATATAAACACGTTGCTTTTATTAAAAGTTTCTGTAACTCATTGGTTCATTTTAGAAGGGTCAATTATTTTCATTCTTTTTTTTTACTTTTGTTCCCTGGTTTAGTGATGATACTTGATTAGACTTTTTCTAACATTTTACTATATAAAATAAGTATTACAATTTGGTGCTACTATCGCATTAGGTTTAATATCGGTATCAGCCAATTCTCAAACCTACAATATTGGTATCGTACAGGAAACAAAACAGTATATTGTGACATTCCTAACCCTAGCACAGACCCTGGCCAGCTGCTGCCTCTTAATAGCATTGGTGCTCCCTGCCCTGCTAGATACAAGACAAATTTGCGCCGAAACAACCACCATCCAGACGCAACTCCTAGTCTCGTTGGTGGTACTCTCCAAGCTGGTTCAGATTCCTGAGGAACAGATGGACCCAAATACATTGATGCCGACGTTGTCGTTCAGTTTTGCAGAATAAAACGAGTTCCATGACTCTGGGTGTCTGATAAATTCCCTGTTGTTGTAATACAAGCTCAAACTCCTCCTTTTTAATGACGCGGTCAGCATTTAGCACTATGAACCCTTTCCCAGAGTACTCACAGAAATCTTTGCGGGCAGCTCTTTTGGTGTGATTCGGAAAAGAAGTTAAACTTCATGGGAGGAGCTGCAGAAATCCAGAGATCTGTAGAGAGAATCTATCCACAGGAAAACTATTGGATCAATGTGCAATTATGGAATAACTAAAAGAATAAGAAAGCTGAAAGACAGTAGAAGCAATCACATTTGTTAAAAGCTATGTAGAGGAAATGAGAAACATCTGCAAAGGTTTTTAAAGGTGCAAACAGTTTTCAAAGGACTGTTGGCCCCATCCAGATTTAGAGTCACCCCAAAAGCCCTCCTGTCCGGACACGGCCTCTGTTTGAAAAAAGGTCATTTCAGTCTTTGTTTCTCGGCTGTGTAGCACTAGAGAGAGCATGTCGGGACACTGTCTGCCTGGAAAGGTTTGTCTGCTGCTGGGTGTCTGCTGGACCTGACAGAGTGGCACACTTATGTAACCAGACAGATAAAACAGGGTTAGCTGGAGGAAATGCAGGATAGGAGTGACGATACCACTTGAGCACATGTCAAGTTGGGACAGAGGTTCAATCTCATTTCAGAAGCCAGATTCGCGTCCACACATTCAAAGAAACATAGTGGCAGGGATTTAGAGAAGATAAATCAGCAGGAAATAAGCTGTTCTGTCCGAACTACACTTCAAATTTGATTTCCTTTACAACACAGATGGTCAGACACATTAAGAAAAGCCCATTCTGCAAAATGATGTCATCTTGCTAATGTTACACATTTAAAATGCATCCTGTGTTTGTTTTTTGGTGTACTTTTTAATTCTCTAAACAGATATTTTCTGTACCCTTGTGGCATGTGGGAGAGTCTGAGAGAACAAAAAACAGAAGCGTAGCCAAAATGAGAACAAAGGCATTGTGTATCCTTTGTGGATTCCCTCTAGAGCTCTGGACAGGTTTGGTTTAGTTCCCTAGTGGAGCTGAGAAGGAACACATGCAATGAGCCTGAGCAGCTTTATACAGAGAGAAAGTTAACCAATAACATCCTGGCCGTTATGATACAGGCATCCAATTAAAGAAAAAAGATATTCATCATAAACATAACTACCACCTCTGGAAATAATGCCACTCTTTAGTCTTGTGTAATTATTTTTTTAAGACACTGCTTTTTTCTGTGCAGTTTTTATTTATTTATTTATTTTTTAACATTGGGCCCTTGATTTTACGTTATTACATCATGTTCTACTCACCCATATGAGTATTTTTTGTCGATTGGAGCCGTTCCGAAGATATTCCGTTAGGTTATATCCAAGTAACGTCTTCCTATGGGCAACGACTTGAAGGCACAAACTAAACTGTTCATAATTAATCATTTGTGGTACGCCAATATTCATAACATGTATGCAAATCAGTGTCTCCCAGACATCCGCGGTTATATTTTTTATATTTATATATTTTAAAACAAAGCTGAGTGTGTATGACGTCATCTCAAAATGTAGGACATTATCTGAAAAGTAACTCGTTTTTAAGCATTTCTCACCTGTTGCAAGCAAATTATTATGTTATTTTATGTTTCTTTGTAAGGGTAAAGGGATTTGTTTTGAATAAAAACTATACATTTTTACCTCAAATGCATCCAATTCTTTGCATTAATGTGCAGTTGGGATCCAGCTACTCCATCTTGGAAACCAATTCTGTAAAGCCTACTTTGTACTCTTTTTGATCAAATTTGAAGGTACATACATGGTTAATTGTGGAGGTTTGTAGGTAGTGATTCCGTAAAGCCTCCTTCCCACTTAAATTAACATAAGTTGATTTAACACGTTTTCAAACATGGTTGACCTGCTAACAATCTGCATTTGACTCCCTTACCATTGGTAAAAAAAACAAAAAACTATCTGACACCCCACTGGTGAGCAGTGTGACCTCTGTCCCCCCCGCTGCTGTGTTTCTGGTGATGCCATCATGCTGGTTTAGCGTTGATGATTTCACCAGTGCGTCATATATAA